ATATACTATATGAGATATCTTATATACGATATAAGATATCTTATATACTATATAAGATATCTTATATGCTATATAAGATATCTTATATATTTTTTTGAAATACAGGATCGACATTGCTCCTTGAATAAATGTTAAGTTGGCTTGCCATAGATTTCCCATAAATAAATGAATAAACTTGTGGATAATGATGTAAAACAGCTAGTGTAGTCAATAACATTTGGAGTAAGACGGCATTTCAGAGGTATACACGGTGGGTCAAGTGGTAGATCGAAGCCGTCCAGTATACAGTTTTAGTGAAGTTTCTATTTATAGTAACAGTGACATTGACCTTTGACCTTCGGACCTGAAAAACAATCCCAAGCAAGCACTTTTGATAAGGAAGCACTGCATAAAGTTTGAGTTTGATCTGCCAAAGGAAACTCAAGTTATCGCACGAAAACAGATTTTCTATTTATAGTAACAGTGACCTTGACCTTTGACCTTCGGACCTGCAAATCAATCCAAAGCAAGCACTTTTGGCAAGGAAGCCGGCATGAAGTTTGAGTTTGATTGGCCCAAGAAAACTCAAGTTATTGCACGAAAACAGATTTTCTATTTATAGTAACAGTGACCTTGACCTTTGACCTTCGGACCTGAAAAGCAATCCCAAGCAAGCAATTTTGGTAAGGAAACACTGCATGAAGTGTGAGTTTGATCGGCCAAAGGAAACTCAAGTTATCGCACAAAAACAGATTTTCTATTTATAGTAACAGTGACTTTGACCTTTGACCTTCGGACCAGAAAAGCGATCCCAAGCAAGCACTTTTGGTAAGGAAGCACTGCATGCAGTTTGCGTTTGATCGGCCCAAGGAAACTTAAGTTATCGCACAAAAGCCTCTGTTCGGACGCCGACATAGCAAAACCTATGTGTCACCAGCTTTTCGCAGGCGACACAAAAACAGCTTTTAACTCAAGCACGTTTATGTCTAAGTCAGTCTCTATATCTGACCACATGCCACCTATAGACTCGGCAGTGTCAACCACAGTAGCCCCCCAGCCATATCCCGAGGCATCAGATGTCAAGGTCACCTGTGGCGGTGTCAGGGTCACTGCCTTGCATGTCAACTCAATATTATCGATCCACCACATTATGTCTTCCTTACATTCATGTGAAATGGCAAGCCAAGTTGTCATTTATGCATGGAGCAATGTTGATCCAGNTTCAAAATCTCTAGTTTTTTGTAATGTAAAGCAGCATATTTCACTCCTTGCTCACAAGCGATCGGGGTGCCTGTCAGTTCAGAAAATTGTCTGATTGTACAAGTGTCTCTATGCATAAAAGTCTCACGTAAATTCTTTATCTTGGTCACTTTGTCTGCTGCTGGTTTCACAGTCATGTCAATAGAATTAAGTACAAACCCCAGGTATGTTATACGCTGTGTAGGTTCCAGGATAGATTTGCGGAGGTGAACTGTGAACCCCAAAGAGTTCATAAGACTAACGGTGTCGGTCACATCGTCCAAACATTGTTTTTGTGAGTCTCCCAATAACAGTGAATTATCATTGTAACTCGTTATATGTCCGCACTTTCGTAACGTAGAAAACATGCATTTCATGATTTTTGTAAATACACGTGGTGCACAAGACAACCCATTCGCGAGACAATTGAACTGGTATAATTGGTCATCCCAGTAAAATTTCATGAATTCTCCATCTCGTTCAGCGACCGGGATCGAATAATAAGCGTCTTTTAAATCTACCGAGGCAAAGAAACAGTCTTTCCTCTTCAATACGATGGCCGATTTTAACGTATCCATTTTAAAATGATGATGTTCGACAAATTATTTAAGAGAGCTTAAATTTAGGATGATACGGACCGTCCCATTTTTTTTCATGCGAGGAAAAATGTTTGAGATGTTTTCACCATCGTTGTGTACGGTTGGTTCAATGTGCTTCGCGATAAGCTTGGGTATTTCTTTGACAATGAGTTCTCTCTCTTTTGGGGGAAAGTTTAAAGGCCTTGCGGCCCTACACTGATTTGGAAACTGTTCAAAAACAATCGAGAAACCGTTCAGACTATTCAATATCCAGTCATCAGATGAAATATTATGCCAGTTATTTAAGAATGAGGCTGTTTTCCCAGAGTGAAAATATTCAGGTGTATTCTGAAGTTGAGACAAAAAATTAGAAGGCATGTGGCTTACCTTCGACAAATCTAGTCCAGTCCTTCATCCCAGCATGTTACTGGCCAAATATCATTATCCTATGCCTCTTAATTATTCAGGAGAAGTTGTTTAAAGAGTTTTTAAGACAATTGACCCCTGTTACCTTGAAAATGGATGAAGGTCATTCATTTGAACAATCTTGGTAGCCCTTCATCCCAGCATGCAACTGGCTAAATATCATCACCCTGGGCATTTTGGTTATTCAGAAGAAGTTGTTTGAAGATGTTTTAAGATAATTGACCCCTGTGACCTTGAAAAAGGATGAAGGTCATTCATTTGAACAAACTTGGTAGCCCTTTATCCCAGCATGCTACTAGCTAAATATCATCACACTAGGCCTCTTGGTTATTAAGAAGAAGTTGTTTAAAGTAAAATATTGATCACGGACGTCGCACCACGGCATAAGCTCACCTGGCCCTAAAAGTTGTCCATAGTCGTCATCAACGTGAATCTTTGGGAATCCTGTGTTGTAAGTTTGTCCGTCAGTAGTCAACATCTATGATGGAAGTCATGATATTCTCATCAAGCTACTGCATACCGAATCAACTGCGACATGTAAACACCGTAGGTAGGGGAAGCCAGGATGCTGTTATCAAGAAAGAGAAAGTCAAAATCGTCCTGCTTATCGTATAGCTTAGTATTAAGCCGTCTCTTAGTTTCAGGTAGGTCTTCTTGAACTATAGATTAAGCCATTTCAAGATTTTAACATATTTGACCCCTGTGTGTTTGAAAGGAGGTCAACATCATTTATGTTAACATCTCTGACAGCCCTTCATTCCAGCTAGGCATATCTACTGGTCAAGTATCACGGCTTCTTAAGTCTTCTGGAACATGAGAAGCTATTTAAGTGACTTACTCACACAAGCTCACAGCCACATCCTGCTGTCCGTGGAAATTCACCCATTACCTTGTAAATAGGCCGGCACATTGCCAACCGTGATAGGCAACTCTCTCTGTAGGCAGTGTTCTCCCCAGAATTTTTTTGATGCGCTATGGCATCTACATTTTAACCCTTCCATCACAGCGCGGCGCTGCCAACCATTTCCATGTCGCAACCCATCAATCGTGCGCGACGCAACTTTGAGAAAGAAAACTAAACAAGAGTAATAATTGATGTACTTAATTCTAAATAAACAGTATTACTTAATAATCTTGACATTGCATTATTATTGCACATTTCCTTGCCCTTTACTTTTTCTTTCACATTTTTTTTATACCTACAAAAAAAATAGTCTGACTCAAGAAATTGATAATTTTAGCAAATTCATAGAAATAAATGAATGTGTGTCTGAGGATAAATAGATTATAATATCATTCAAACCAAAGATATTTATTTTGACACATTATTAATTAATTTTGAAATCAATGATTTATTTTTAAAAATCCCTTAGTTATGAAATTAACCAGGCCCAGCTACCTGTAAACAAAAAAAAACCTTAATTTTATCACACAATGCTGTTTTCAATGTAAACTTTAATGTAGTGATATCGTTATCAAATTGAATTATTGTAATTATCCAGTAAAAGTAATATTTTATTGTAACTTATCAAACTGGGAAAATTATGTGCTATTTATAAATTTGGCGCCTAAATAATTAACGCTTCAAAAGACAGTGCATCACAAATTACGTAAGATTATTCAGGTTATCAAAACAACATGGCTGCCACGTGCAGTCTGCTCATTTAATAAAAGCTAGTCTAATGAGGGTGAGGCTGATAGGAAAGGGGAGAAAAGATTATCATGATTTGTGAAAACTTTACTTGTAACGGTAAAATGCATGCGTAACAGTAAAATGGTGATGCGTAACAGCTCAAAATTTATGCGTAACGGTACCATTATGCTAAAACAGCCTGGGGTGTGGTCCCTACCGAATTGTAGGCTTTCTACCGTGTCCTCTGCTTTGGGGGACAATGAAGAAAACAAAATAAACTTTACCCATTACAATACAAGACTTTTATCATTTTTTTCTTCTATTCTACCTCTTTTATAACAAACTTCACCACTGTTTCTCTTGGCACATCAACCATTTAGGGCTGTTCCACAATTAACTCATTCACCCCTGAAATTTCATAATGAACTATTCCAACCTTTAAATTGGAAGAGTTCAAATGTGTCCTCAGGAGTGAATGGGTTAACTGTATGGGAGGGTGGGACGTACTTGGAAGCTGCCCATCGTATCAATACAAGTACTACGACATGACACCAATAGCTCCTGACATTACCACATGACTCATATTGCTTGATGGGATGTTCAGAATGTAGCAAAATCAAAAGCATGAAAGCTTTATCAGTTTCCAGGAAGACTAGGATTCTGCTGCTGCAATTAAGATCGTTGCCACCTTTCCAATATTTCATCATGTAATTGTAAGTAAATCCGAATTCAATATACAACAAACAACAAGACACAAGACTTCAGATAAAACAAATCTGTATAGATTTATTTCCTGTATTCATTCATTTCTTTGTGTTTATACACAAATTAATGACGAGAAAGATTTCAGATATGAAAGCTTTAACTAACACACAACATGCTGGTGATTGCATTTGTTTATCATGATCAGAAAGAATCTTTTCACATGAAAATTTATTTTAGTAATTGTTTTTAATTATGGGGTTCATTCATTCCAGTTCAGAAGTGTACTTGCTTACATTCAAAATGCAATGTTTTCTGTGACTACTGTAGAATCATTTATTTTCGTGGGGTTGAAATTTCATGGTTTTCATATACTAGCCTGTTTCAAGGACATTATATATCACTGATTTCTGATTTTCCCCTATCAATATCATACCAAATTGATGTTTTCGTGGGGATTTAATTTTGTGGATTTTTGTTATCCACGAAATAAACGAAATTTAATGTCCCACGAAAATTTTCGATTTTACAGAATAAACGCTATCAAACGCAATTTTACCAGCAAGGCTTTGAAACAACACATTTCTCTTAAAGATGTAAAAATTGTATATTGTGCACTTACAAGTTCATTTATGAACAGTGCCTCTCTCAAAAAAATTGTCATACTGTATACGTGTTCATGAACAAAAAGATAAATCCTGCAAACCCCTGTGCCAACCACACCAGGGAACGGAACATACAAATAAATTTCACATTCTGGCTACAGGGAAATAATTCTTTCAAAAATCCCCTCAAATATTGCATTATTAAAATATTGTAAATTTTAATTTTTACAGGTGCATTAATAGTCCAAAAAACATTAGAAAAATAATTCATCTATTTGAAATTTATTTGAGAATATTTTAATTGATCAGATGAATTAATTTGACATCGTTACTATTTAAAGTGAAAGATTTGAGAAATGTAGACCTTGTTCCTGGCAAATTCACCAACTATTAAAAAATTGGCAATGTTACAGCATATATTTAAACCTGAACAACGTCTTTCAACTCACATTGCAAATACCTATCGAAAATATCCTATTTAAATAATTAAACCCTAAAATTATCATTTTGTCATATAGACCATTTTGAAAATGGCCAAATTTTGTATTATAAATAAGACTGGGCATATGGTTTTACCAAACTTGACTAACATGACATGGTAAACTTCTAAACTGACCTTTCTTTTTTAAACTATACATACTAGGTTTAAACTCCATATGCACTTTCCATGATACAGCTAACAAAACTAAGTTTGAAGTAATTTGAGGTTAAACTTAACTTATCAATGCAATTGAGAAAAGTAACACTTGCTATGAAAACAAGAAACACATTAAATAGCCTCAGTTTCTTCCGAGTTCGTCACAGAACTGGTCAATTTTATTATTTAACCAAATATTGACACATGACCAGACATATCAGAAAATTTGAAGTACAGTGTGCCCTTTTGCGATGTAAGCTTAGAAATTAAAGTTGAATGTGAAAAGATAATAATTCAATTCTGATCACCTATCACCAATATCAGTCGTTACACATTGTAGTCTATCAAGAGGGAATTGCGTTCAGTCTTCTGTGAATGATGTGTTCAGGATAAATTTGACAACTTCAATCTAAGGTAATGATTATGCTGCAAAACATATCCAAAATATACAGAGTACACAGAATGAAACATTTCAGCTCAAATCATGCATCATGAGGTGAGAACATTTGTACATGTTTAGGAGAATGATGAACAAGCTTCCAAACTTCATTAACACAAATCCTTTAAATCAACAATGAATGCCCACCCTTGTTTCTTTATATAACCCCCAACCCCACCCCGTTCCGCCCCTACATCCGATGCTTGCTTTTTTTGTGTTTGTGACGATGTCTACTTGGACTTCTGGAAGTTGACCTCTTGTGTGGTGACCTTGACCTTGACCTTGACCTTCGTGACCTCTTAGGACTGAAATTAAACAAATCAAGAGCTATGAAAATTCATCTCTTCACACATTAAAATACAGGTTTCCTCGGCAATTTATAAAATGTTTTGAGAAATTGTATGTTTGATCTTGGATTTATCTGGAGACCACTGCTCAGAGCATAATTTTGAACAATTTGAGAACTTAACATTTGTGTTTATGATTTCGTTCTTTTTAAATATCTGTATTGATTACTAGGCTCCTTGATTTTCAGCCTTACAGTAAAGCTCTTGAGAACATCTAAACTGTCATCTTTTTTGAGGTTTGTATTACTTGGAAATACCCACCTTTTCGTTCTTTTTGAGCCTCTTTTTGGACTACTTGAGATGGATCTATAAGCAGGAGAGAAGGACGGCGAGCGATGGCGCTTTCGTTGATCTCTTCCCGGTGAGTCAGTTTCCTGTAACAAGAAAGTTAAAATTTTATTAATAAATGTTATATGCTACCGTTCACATTATACCTGTGATCTGTGTTAGAGTTAAGGTTATATGCTACCGTTCACATTATACCTGTGATCTGTGTTAAAGTTAAGGTTATATGCTACCTTATACATTATGCCTGTGATTTGTGTTAGAGTTAAGGTTATATGCAACCTTACACATTATACCTGTGATTTGTGTTAGTGTTAAGGTTGTATGCAACCTTACACATTATACCTGTGATTTGTGTTAGAGTTAAGGTTATATGACATGCTACCTTATTGTGATCGGTGTTCGAGTAAAGGCTATATGCAATGCTATATATTTGTATTAGAGATACCTGCCTTTACATTTGATAGAATTAGCATCTGATAATTCAAAATTATCTGAGTATCATCAAAGCATGCATTTTTGTATATCTTTAAAATGCTTTACCATATTAATTAATTAATTTCAAATTAATACCCTGTCTTCATGTGAACTCTTCTTTGTGTAGAACTCATTTTTATAGGAGATTAATTTCACACTTAATTAGCATAAATCCTTTTATGTACTGCAACACCAACCTTCTGCAGTAGTTTCTTTCTGTAGTGTTCCACCTGTTGTGATATAGGGATATGATTTTTCCTTGATCTCTTTCCAGCCTCAAGCTCGTCTTGGTATTTCATAACTTTCACCTGAAATAATACATGTTTTCTTCATTATGGAGACTCTTTATTATTCCCTTATGGCAAATCGACATCTACTTTTTTAACCCTTCCACCCCTATGTAACTTTAGTAAACTCTTCCATACATTAATCTGGATGAGTACATTTTGGTCTACAGTGGTGAAAGGGTTAATACCTTCTACTTTTTTTTAACCTTTTCACCCCTATGTAACTTAAGTAAACTCTTCCTTACATTGATCTGGATGACTGCATTTTGGTCTACAGTGGTGAAAGGGTTAATACCTTCTACTTTTTTTTTCACTTTCAGCTTTTCGGTTTTAAGACAGTTAATGTTAAATTTTTTCATTTAAAAATAAATCTTTTTCGAAGTTCTTTATACTTCATCAAACAGTGCCTTTTAGTTCTTTATACTTCATCAAACAGTGCCTTTTACCTCTATCTCCCTAAGTTTTGCTCTCCTCTCCTCAGTCATTTCCTGTTTGTGATGATACTCGGAGTAGTCCTGGAAACTCTCTTCGTCTGAAGCTGTTCCTCGGGAGTACCCTTCCTCTTCGTCTAGAGGTCTGACAACAGAAAAATTGCTGCTTATAGGCACATACTGCCTTCAACCCCTGTCTAACACAGGATTCAAGACAAACAGCATTTGAAAACTAGAACACTGTCAGGTCAGCAAGGGCCAAGCTGATGCCTCACCATAGCCCGCCCCCCCACCCNGGCCATGATGTTAGAAACTTTTTGAACCCCTATTGAACATCTACATGTAACACTGTGTCAAATTTTAAAAAGATTTTTATTTCGAATTTCGAGATGATTTTCCAGAAACGAAAGTGTGGATAGACAGACAGAGTGATTATTATAGGGCACCTGCATGTCCGATACAAGGCCCTAATAATATGTAAGACTTGTCAAAACAGAATCATCTACTACAATAGCCAAATAATCTCCCGACTTGAAGTGTGGGTTTCCCGGAGTTCCTGATTGTGAAACGAATACAACATCTAAAAGGAAGATACCATGCAGGAACAATATCCTATGAAATTGGGCAAAGTATTTTATATGCATTTTATTTCATATTATTGGTTTAGGTTTTTTATATTGTAAAGCGCTCTCTCGAGCTGCTAGCTTTAGCAGGATATTGTGCTATGAGAATGTCTATTATTATTGTTGTTGGTAGAAGGGGTAAACTACAAGACAATAACAAACTTGTTGGCATCTTCACTTTAAAATTGCAGTAGATATGGATGGGCTTCCAGATGCCTGGTAGATACAGTGACAAATACTACATGTTCAGATCCAGTGTGATATTAAGGTTTTGAATCCGCAATTCAGTATTCATGAGTAAATAATATGATTTTTCCAAACTATCTGCCTAGTATGAATTTAGGTAGCAAAACAAATGTTCTGGTTCAATGGAGAAAATGACTAAAAATGCGTCCTGAACCTTGAAAAGCTGAATGTCAGTCATCATTATGGAAATTCCTGGTAGATTTTTTTTTTTAAGGGGTGAGGGTGAGGGGTGATGGGTGATGGGGGCATACTCACTGTCCATCAATATCTTCATAGACCTCCCCTTGGGGTTTTTCCTCTTCCTCCTCCTCTTCCTCTTGGTTGTCCAGTAGGTCCCACTTAGACGTTGTCATGGCTACAACAAAAAAATAAAACTGAATGTTTCATGTCCGATATATTCATTTACAATAAAACGAAAAGAATATGAAATCAAATCCAGTATGAGTGCAGGTTCTTATATTTTATAGCAATAATTCTTCTTTTGTTTTGAAATTATGCTAACTTCTCTAAGATATCAAAACACAAAATATGATTTTCACTAACTAGAAAATAGTGTTTGTAAAACATGGTACACATTCATTCTGGAACCAAAAGAAAAATACCAAACTAATTGATTTCTATATTTTACTTGAGATGTAATAAGGCATTTGATTGGTCAATCAAAACCACGATATTCCGTCGGCAAATTTCTCATTTACATACAAAGCCCTGATGGCGATTGTTAATGACATCAATGACCCCGAATGACCCTGACACGTCATGAAATTGATTAATCATGACATCACGAACAATAGCATGACCCTGAAAGGTCAACGTAAATCCGCCTCTGTTTGAATATTTCTGACGTCACCAATCCATAGCAGAGAGGCCCAGAATTTGAAGAAAACACTCAAAAATATCTTAATATTGTTGTTTCTTTCGGTGGTTTTGGCCAATATGAATTAGAATTGGAATAACCCTTCTGTATTTTGAAATTTGCAGCGGTATATTGTGATTATACTGACAGATATTCGTATTGCTGGCTCCGCTCCGTTTTGCCAGTAAAACTCAATTTGCAACAGTATAATCACGATATACTGCCGCAAGTTTCAAAATAATTTACCCTTACCAGATGACCTCGACATGTCTAAGTACCTTCTTCATTAAGTCTATCTGAATATGCATCAAAATGTCTTGCTAAGGCCAAAATATAATAATATGTGTTTCCACTATCATCCTCAGAAAAAATACGCTAGGAAGACAGACAATTTTTTTTCTTTTGGATTTTTTTTCTCTACCAAACGCTTATAGAGAGCTCCCGTTCTGACTTTAACAGTGAATATTACTAAATGCCAAACAAAACGTTGAGGATTAGCACAAAAATCTAGGGTAGGTAGGGTTAGTGGAAGCACAAGCTTTTTATTTTTATTTCACCGTAGCCCTGAATACCAGTTAAAACTCTCTCTGCACTTCATATTTCATCTGATGAATTTTCAATGTAATTCTGCACTTACCTTGAGCCTCAAGCTCGGCATCGTCGACAGTCTCCCACTTAGACTTGAGGAACTTCGGAGCTACAGGTGACCTACCACGAACCTCCTCACGATCATTTTTTCTCGGGTACTCACCAACTAAATCAGAATCAAATGTTTTTCATCCTTCTATATTGCGTTTTCAATACATAATCATCAATTCAGTTCCCATAATAACCAAACTATGGAGAACGCACTTTTTTGCATCAGCCAACAACCAACTACTCTGCCAGGGGTTTATCAGAATAATATATTTTAGGCCCGTTTAAATAACACATTCCAATTGAAAAAGGGTGTAATTTTTCACCATTTGCCCCTTCAAAATTCCCAATTTGGAAATCCAAACAAATAAATGCATATATTTAAATAGATTCCTACTGATTGACCGAGTTTTAAAAATGCATATGCAGAAAGGACAGAATGATCCCGTTGTCATAAATAAAAGCTTAAATAAAAGTTAAACAATCTAATTTCATGTGTTCAGAGTTGGTATAATGATAATCGTAATTTCCAACAATGGCTATTATGTCGATGAATTTCCTCCAATTTTATTTCAGGCTCCGTTTCCCAAAAAAACCCCTGATAAACCGCTGCCTGCAAATACACTTCTCCTGTTTTTGTTATAGAAAGCAAGTGTTCAAGATCCTGCTCATCTGATGTAAGTGTTTTGGCCAATAACTAGATAAATCTAATTAACTAATCAGTCACGAATGATTGATAACAGATTGTCACAATGAAAAAATCAGGAAAAGACTACATATCTTTTTTGGTACTTTTAGGTTCAGGATATGACACAAACCATAGGGTGCCAAATTACCTTGTTTTACTCTCTTGCTAAAAAGTTTTAATCATTTTAAAAATCATCATCGCAAAATAACTGCATAACTGTACAAAAAATATAAGTGTCTTCTCCATTCATATCTAAATATTACATCCAGGAGAAGAAAAACCAAGAACTGTGGTTTTCACGCACAGACATACATGTATACTAATTATTACTATATACCAAGAAATGTTCACCTCAGTTTCAATTCACGATAGTCTGCCCCCCTTATGACGGCAACTTCATCGTAAGACATGTAATGTATTAGTGCCGATTTCTTTAGCGTGGCCATTTTGTGTAATTAAACTGTCGAAGGAGCTGTTGAATACAACAAGAGGCCCATGGGCCTTAATGGTCACCTGAGTCTATAGTATTTATTTTTGTTGTTGAAATATGTACCAATTTGAGTAAAAAATAGTATAATGTTAACTTAACTTTGTCAGGACCATGAGCTGATCATTCCTAGACCAATTTTAAGTGAGATCGGCCTATTAGAACTTAGTAGCAAAATAGCGGCCATGGCAGCCAAATTGTATTTCTGATTGACCCGAAAAATAACAACACTTTGTCAGGACCATGANCCCCATCTAAGTCCTCAATAGGGGCCCCATCTAGGTCCTCACTGTCCGAGTGGTCAATGCCAGGCAATTTAGTAGTAACGCCCTGACACAACAAAAAAGAACGATGAAAAAGTAGGTAGAAAATTAGCATTTCAACACTTACAGCAGGCTGTTTTATCTGAAAAGGTCACTTTTCAACATTCAACACGAAATCTGTTCTGATTAACCCTTTCACCACCGTAGACCATTACAGACTCGTCCAGATCAATACATGGTAGAGTCTACTAAAGTTACATAGGGGTGAAAGGGTTAACTTCTGGCAATGCTTTCTGATCAGTCTCACTTCTTGTTTTCTTCTTCAAATTCATCCTTTATCAAACACCTACATTTTTATGACTCCTAATTCTGATCATGAACTTCTTTGAATTTCAAAAATCACATGTTATCTTTGCAAATATAATCAAAGAAAGAAATAACTAAATATCTGAAAAGCAGTCACAGGTATGGCATAAGCATTATTATCACTTCTTAGTGACAATTTTATTAAGTATGAATCACAATATTTTCACAATTAGATAGATATGTTGCATTGACAAATGTGCCAAATAAACTTTTGAAAGATTTTTAAATTTTGATTCTTAAAGTATCAGAAGAAGAATATACAGTCAAACTTTGATGTTACGAACTTTACGTCCGGAACTATCGGGGAAAAAACCGAAACATTTGGACTTTGACACACGAATATTAAATTTAATATTAACATCGAGATCCTGTAAATAAGACAATGTGATTCTCTCAATATGTGACAAAACAAAGGCTACGATTTTTAATTTTAAATATAAATATTGGATTTCTAATCAAATTCAACATTTCTTTGTCAATCACATTTCCAAAGCCTGAACTGTTAAAACAACCTTGGGACATTTTAATCTAGTATAGGTGAAAATTTCACTTCGATTTATAAGTTGTAATTTTCAATGTTTTCATAATGAATGGGCCTTGATTATACTTCGAAACAGTGAGAAATTTGTCTTATAAAAGTTCTATTCCTAAAAAAACTAAAAAGTGTTATATAAGGGAATAATTATGGACTTTGCCGTAAGTTCGACAATAACGGTACATTCGCGTATCCGGTTGAAACGGTTGAACCTGTAAAGAAAACGACAGATACAAATCTGGACCGAGGCTGACCAAAGAGAAGTTTAAATCTTGGAAGTTTGATTTACAGAAGTTTGACTGTATACGTATCTATGAAATACATGTGACTTAAGGTAGAGATTCCCAGCACTCAATGCTGTCTAGCCAAGAACAGTTTAGATTTATTTCAACATTTTACTGATGGCCTTGCTTGCTTAATTGTTATAACAAAGAGTAATATACAAAAGAAATATATTTATTGTAATTTCCATTTTCAAAAAACATTTCCAGATCTCTTGATAATCAAGCAGGGAGCTTATCAACTGTGCAACATGTTATGATATTTGTTAATAATTTTCTGCAACATTACCGAGATAATTACAAAATGTTTTAACTCCTAAAAAAAGGCCTGCAACATGTACATATAATCGTCTTTGCATTTATAGAGAGGAAATAACATAAATTTGACAGAAAAAGAACTCTAAAAAAAGTAGAAAAAACGTAAAGGCAGGAAAAGAACTCTTTAAAAGCCTGTGTACAGCAGAAAAGTGGTGGAACATCCTATCTCAAGATAGAGAAGGCCATGATATTTTCACATCATGAGGGAATAAGTGGTTCGGTAATGAGGTGGTGCACAAACCTTTGTTGGGACGAGGCCAAGGAAGATGTTCTGTAGGTTTATCAGATAGTCGTTAGGATAAATAGCCCAGTCTTCCCAAGCTCGGAAACAACCCATCACTTTTTGCTGTAAATGAAGCAAATATTTAATTGAACTTTCCTTCTTTTTTATCTGGGGTGGTTCCCTCCCTTTACAGTTGGTAGGCTTTCCAAGAATAAAACGAAATTGCAGCGATGGTTTTATTATGAACATGGTATGGTATTTCACAATTGTGATTATCAGCTTCAACAAAGTGCTTGGAAGAATTTTCTTCCACACTTGACTGGTTCATACATAACATGTTCTGAGCTACAAAATTTATCCGTAGGACTGAATTTCTCTATCTTATTCACACAGGAGTGGTATATTATAACAAAGGCCCAGAGGGCCTGTATCGCTCACCTGGATACCTATGCAATCATGGCAAAATATTCTCCAAATGAGATCAAGGGAATATGCCAGACCCCAAGGGCAATCCTTGTAGCATAGCTATATTAGATTTTTCATGCCCAGCAATTTTATGTATGGTTATGGGGTGGGGATCTCAATTGTTTCCAAGCTTTGACTCAGAAACTAGGTCCCTAGAGTTGTGGCCAGACCCCAGGATCCATTCTAATATCGTGACTGCATTTGTCTCTTTTTTTCAAGCATTTGTATATATAGTTTTGGGGTGGGGACCTCAACCGTTTCAAAGTTATGACCCAGGGGCCAAGTCTGCAAGGGTGGGGCAGACCCTGGGATCAATTCTAATGTCATGACTGCATTCGTCTCTTTATGCCCACCAATTGTATATATAGTTTTGGGGTGGGGATATTAACCATTTCAAAGTTATGACCCAGGGGGGGGCAGTCCCCAAGGCCAACCTGGAAGCATATGTGCAATCATCTCTTTATACTCAGCAATTGTATATATACGGTTATAGGGTGGGGCTCTCAACTGTTTC